TGATGGTCTCTGCTTTGGGAAGAATCACAGGGCTTTGAAGCTTTGAACATTTTACTCTGGGACAAGCAATGGGCTCCAGTTCCTGTCCTGCTCCAACCTTCAGGATGTCTAGGATTGAGATGCCTCATGCAGGGAAGGATTCAGCCAGATCTCAACAAGATCTCTGCACTCTGGAAATTTTGTTTATCTTAAATGGGTCTCTAACTCACCTCTTTGAGTGCTGCTGCTGCTGCCTGGGAAGTGCTGAAGATGGGACAAGGGGCAGTGATGACCAAAGGACCGCTGGAGGGGTGGCCTGCAGGACATCTCCCAGGCCATGCAGAAATCTCCCCTTGCTCTTGAGGACACTGCAGGGGCCAGTACAGAGATCTCCAGGCACAAGCACATGAACTTCAGCTGCATCTGAGAGTACAGAGCCCTCGGCACAGAAAATGGGAATTTGGGATTTGTGCTCCTTCAGCTCTTGGTAAACGAACCTTGTAAATAGGAAAGGCAAGAAACCTGTCTGCAACTTCAACTTTTCTGTTCCATATTTTTCTACGTGTTTTGACTTTGTAATTCTTGTCCCAAGGACAAATGCTGCTTCCTAGCACTGACTAACCTTCAAAGTGTGGATGGCAACTGTGCAGAACCTCCTGTAAGCAAGAGTTTCAGTCACAGTGTGGTGGGCAGCTGCAGGTGCCGTGTATCAGCTGACAGGGGATGTCTTGGCATTAGGAAGTAGAACCTGAAATCAGGAATTCTTTGTCAAGTTTATTCGTTTCTGCAGAACTCTTCTTTAAACTAATCCTTCAGTGATGAATAACATCATCAGTGGTGCCCAGCTTCTCTTTGGCTCTTAGTTCAGCCGTGTTTGAGCTGCATCTTCAGGGTGATGTTTCTCACTGTGCCAAATGGATCCGATGCCAGCCAGCCCAGCAAGGAGCCAGCCTCCTCCTCCTCCATGTCTGCCATTGTCCTGGATGCCTGTGTGACCCAAAACAAGACAGTTCAGCCAGCAGAAAATTTCCAATGATTAGTTTTCTGCCCCTTAATGAGCTGAAATAACCGTGAGTTCAGATCAGTGAATAATTCAGGTCAGAAGAGATCTTGGGATTGCAGGGCTCAACTCCTCCAATGCAAGGCCAGTTTTGGAGTTGGTTAGATTGCTCAGAGCTCAGGTGAACAACAAAGCTGTGGCACAGAGAGATGCTGCTTCACTCAGGAACAGCAAACTGTTGATTTTTTAAGTAAGAGAGGCCCCACTTGATTTTCTGAAAATGTGGCTCCTCTCAGTGGCCTGTACATGGAAAAAGAAGGTGAGGATGTCTCTGGCAGCTGCTCACTGTTGGGCTGGCACTGTCACCAGCTGAATCACAGAATCAGAATATCCTGAGCTGGAAGGGACCCACAGAATCATCCAGTGCAGCTCCAGGCCCTGCCCAGAGCCCCCCAACACCCCCAGCCTGGGCATCCCTGGAGCGCTGTCCAAAGGCTCCTGCAGCTCTGGCAGCCTCGGGGCCGTGCCCATTCCCTGGGGAGCCTGGGCAGTGCCAGCACCTCTGGGGGAAGAACCTTTCCCTAAATGCAGCCTGAGCCTGGCCTGGCCCAGCTCCAGCCGTTCCCTGGGTGCTGTCCCTGTCCCAGAGCAGAGATGGGAGCTGCAGATCCCTGAGCTCTGCCCTCGCTGTGCTCTGCTCCAGCTGGACACTCCAAGTGCCCTCAGCTGCTCCTCCTGTGGCCCCTCCTGACCCTTCAGCATCTTTATGGCCCCTCTTGGACACTCTTTGACAGCTTTAGATCCTTAATAATTAAGATGTAATAATAGAATAAGATGCAGTAAATTGAAGCTTTTGGCAGTTATAGGAGACTTGGGCAGTGGTTGGAGCTGTGAGAAAATCCAGCTGTTTCCACCTCTGGAGCTCTCTGGGTGCTGGGCTGGCTGCAGGCACTGATCCCTGCATAGCAATCCCATGTTTCTAGATGATGGCAGGGGCTGAAATCCTGCAGGAAAATATCAGGCACCTGAAAAGAAACTGCAGGCTCCTGTAGGAAGTATCCAGACACTGGAAGTGGTGCCTTGGGGATGAGGCAGAGTGTGGCCAGCTGTGTTTGGGGGCTGCACCACTGATGTGCAGGCACAGCTGGTGGGAGGACTGCTCTGGAGCTCTTGGTGTCTCCTCCTCACACAGCTCAGTGCATCTGGTAGGGCAAGAGAAATGTGTTAGCACAGGCTGGTGTTTACTCAGATTCTGGTTCAAATCCAACAAAAAGCCAGGCAAGTCTGCTGGATCATGGGAGGATAAAACCTCATTTCATTAAATCACTCCGGATCAGTAAAATGTCTGTGCATTGCATCAGTGTGATGGAATCAGCCCCAGGGAGGAGATCAGAGCCTGTCCAGTGCTGTGCTCAGGGCTCAGCAGCCCTGCTGGGCACACAACACCAATCTGGGTCACAGTCTGTGTCTCTCTGTCCTGAGCTGGCTGCACATTTCAATGTAATTTAGCTTGTTTTGGTGTGGCAGCTCCTCCATCCCTACAGGAGCTGTAGCAGGGACCAGGGATGTGCTGCCAGGGGCACAGGCACAGTGGAACTGCTCTGGGTGCCTGAAGGACATGAGGTCTCCCATCCCAGGATCTGCATGCACCTAGGTATGGGCCTTTATTGCCCAAATCCCCAAACCAATTCTTCAAGCCTGGCAAATTACTATTACATGTACTGTCTTTACAGCTGAAGTGGGCAACAGATTTTTCTTGCATTTATTTCACCAAAAGATGAAATCACTTTTTAACATAAAATTATACAGTGAAAGCTTGCACCCCAGGACTTCATCTGACAGCAGTCTCCTTTTTCCTGGCACTGAGAGCAAGGGGTACAGTCCAGCTGCTCTGGGTACTGCATGCCAACTTCCCAAATTCACCATTTCTCTGGGTTTGTTCCTAGTAAAACTGAGAACATGGATTTGCCTCACAGCTTGTCTGTAGAATTCTCAATTTTTCCCTCCACCAGGTTTCTCTTTTCCAGAGAAACATCATTGTGGCACCACTTGGTTTAGACACTGAGCGTTGTGCAGATCTCAAATTAAATACTCCCTGCCCTGGCTTCCACATCCCTCTGATATTTAACAGTTTCTTTGAAGTATGGAGAGTTTTAGAATCATGGATTGGTGTAAACTGGAAGGGACCATAAATCCCATCCCATTCCACCCCTGCCATGGGCAGGAACACCTTCCACTATCCCAGGCTGCTCCAAGCCCCATGTGGGACCCAACCTGGCCTTGGACACTTCCAGGGATCCAGGGGCAGCCACAGCTTCTGTGGGCACCCTGTTCCACTTTACCTGTGTTTATCCTTGTTCTGGTAACTCGAGGGACTCTAATAAATGGTTTAATACAAACATTTCTGGGCTGAGATCAATCATTGCACACTCAAGGCCAGAGGCCCCACGATTCCATGATCAGCACCTGCCTTACCCTGCAGCTCAGTGGCAGATGTCACCTGGAGCAGGTGACACTCTTGGAGTGCCATCAGCTGTAAGAAGCACCTGAGCTATCACATTCATTTTCTTAACAGCAAAATAGTCTTGCTTTTAACATTATCAGCTCAAAGAGTAGTAAAACCCTGTTTTTGCCACATTCCCTGTGTCTTCCTGACACAATAAAGGCTTTATTCAGGAAGTCAGATAGATCCTGGTGACTCTGTGCTTGTTCCCAGCTTCTGATACAGAATGCTAATGCACAAAAGCAAGGAAATAAAATTAAAACTAACTAATTAAAACTAATGAAACATGCCCACATGACAAGCAGAATGGGGCTGGATCCTGGACACACTGAGTGATTTGGGTTGGAAGGGACCTTAAAGCTCATCTTGTTCCAACCCCCTGCCATGGCAGGGACACCTCCCACTGTCCCAGGTTGCTCCAAGCCCAGTCCAACCTGGCCTTGGACAATTCCAGGGATCCAGGGGCAGCCACAGCTTCTTTTTGCCAGGGGAATGAATCCTTGCTCACAGTAACTGCTCCTAAAATCCTCATTACAAAAACCTGAAAAATCTCAGTACATGCCCACAGTTGTGCCATCCTGGTAGCAATTTTTATTGCACTCTGTTTCCCTGGCTTTGACTTTTTTCCTTAACTACAAAGCCCCTGATTTCAAAAGTGTTTGCTTGTGTTTTTTCCTAATTCCTTACCCTTATGTTGAACACATAATGAGGTTTCCAGATGTGAGAAACAAGGCATCCTAAAGATCATTCTGCATTTCAAAATGCAGCAGGATTTTGGTTTGGTTTCTTTAGAGCAGAAATTTAAAACAGAAGGAAATACTGGTCTGCTAGGCTGAACCAGCATATCTCTTGCCTTTAGCAGGCTTGGGAAAGATGACTGACCAAATTTAGGGGATCTGTGGGCAAGTATACCAGAACCCTGATTTTGTGATGGAAAGAGTGAGAGGATAAGAAGGAGCAGGCCTTCCTCTGGTAGAATGTGGGAGGAGCAGAGCAGCTGGTCCAGCTGAGATGAGCAGTAATCCTTTCAGGCAGCTAGGATGGAGCTGGTCCCTTCCACTGCAGTTTGCTGGAAATTTAGGGACAGAACAGATCTGACATCAGCCTTGAGAGAGGGAATTTCCAGTGTTTGCAGCACTGGCTCTGTGACTCAGACAGATCTTGGTTGATCCCTCCCTAGGAATGCTCCCAGAGCCTTTTCCGTGGCCGTTGGCAGGTCACCACTCGCAGAAGGAAGAGCTGTAAGTGCCAGTTCTTTTCAGGAAGGAAGGTATGGCTGCAAACATGATCCTTCTGGAGTTCAGGCCATCCAGGTTAAGCCCCAGTGTCCCCCAGCTCGAGTGCTGAGCCGGGGATCCATGTGTTTGGATTTTCCTCTGGCATGGAGAGCAGTCCCCCCGCCCAGGGGTCTGGGAGTACTCCAGGTTTTTCCATGTGACACTGTATAAAGATGGAGGCTGCTCTTGTTTTGATTCTCACCTGATTTAATTACATTTGCTTTTTCTCTTTTTATTTCAGTTGTGATTCCAAAGAGCCCTTTACCTGCCTCCGAAGTAAACTCGGAGAAACCTAGCATGCACAGTAGCACAAAGACTGTTTTGGGGCATCAACAAGGGCAAAGGCGTCGCAAAACAGGGAAGAAGCGTGGTCGAACGACCAAAGCGCTAATCCATCACCCCATGCCTACACCCTCCAAGTCAGTGGAGCCTTTGAAATTCCCCAGAAAGAGAGGCCCCAAGCCTGGCAGTAAGGTAAAAGCTGATGCTGATGCAGGCGGGTGAACAGCAGGTGCTGCAGGTCCTGCCATGGGTTGGTGCATGCGTGTGTTTGTGCACGTTTGTCTCAGCCTCTGGCTGTGTGACTGCAGCAAGTAGGAGAGCAGAGGGGTATGTGGGGCTGGCAGTATCCTCAGAGCCCAGCCCCAGAGCTGTAGAGAATGTCTGTGTCCTAAAGATCATTTCCATCAAGAATCCGTGTCTTTGGAAGTGCATTGGCTGTGGAGTAGCATGGCAGATGCTGGGAGAAAACAGGATGGCCAAAGGGTAGAATAAGCTCTCCCATCCTTTCTGTGGCTAGTCTGAATCAAACAGAGGTGGCAGATCCCAGGCTTGTTATTTTCCAGGGTTGTGGTTTGTAAAATACACACGTGTTGATTACTAGGTTCTCGACACACCCCGTCATCACCATCAGAAATGTGTCATGTTCCACAGTGCCTTGTCTGTTGGATGCAGAGGAGAGAGTGTAGTGATCATGGGTGGTAAAGGAGAGCAGGGGTAAAAGGAGAAATATCTCCTCTTTTTCTGCAGAGGAAACCTAGGACATTGCTGAACCCAGCACCCACCTCTCCAACCACCAGTACCCCAGAGCCAGACACAAGCACTGTGCCCCAGGACGCTGCTACAATCCCCAGCTCTGCCATGCAGGCTCCCACAGGTAAGGAGGGTCGTGGACCACATTCTTGACAGGATTGCACAGTTAGGAACTGCAGCAGGCAGGCAGCAACACTCTGAGAGAGTCCCATTTCTTCCTAAGCCTGTAAATCAGCAATCCTTACCACTCCAGAAAGGCTGGCCTGAGAGAGGCACATGAGTCCAGAGCAGCTGTTCATTTATCTTTCTATTGGAAATAATGAAGTAGGAAGATTGCAAGCCCACCTTGAGTGCAAGAACCCCTTTCCCCTGCATGCTGGTGACTCCACAGCTCTCCAGGGACACTTGTGGCCCACTGTGCCCAGGGGCAGTCGGGTGTGCAGCACCCCTTGTGAGCCCCGAGCGTGAACTCTCCCACACCATGCAAGGCACAGCTGCTGGAACTGCACAAGGGGCAGAGGAGGTGCTGAAGGACTCTGATCTGCCCAGCTCCAGCCAGGATATCAAGGCACACAGGGACAGGAGGGAATAGGGGAGGAGGAGGAGGAGCAGCAGTGAAGAGTGTATGCACTGCTACAGCTGAGGAGGAATCTGGCCGGGAAAGTCTAATGCAAAGCTGCTTTTGACATGTTGAGTCAAGTACTGGATATGGGCTGAGCCCTCTGTTTCCCCAGAATGTAATTGGCCAGTTTTCAGAGGAACCTAAAGAAGCCAGTTTCCCTAAGAAGGAAACACTGTGGGAAGCCCTAGAAAGTGGGGGCTGCATTCCTTCTTCCCCTGTGAACATCACAGCCACCTTACCTGGCTGGCATGGAAACCGCTTTCCAGCCTGGGAGAGCATGGGAGAAACAGCAGCAGTTTGGAAGGTGAGCGTGAGGCAGGAAGATTTTGGAGGTGATTCCCCTCTAGAAGCGGCTCCACCGTGAGGATGCAGTCAGGCAGTCGTGGTGGATTCCACTTTGTGAGTGATTGGAGAGTCTTAAAATCTCAGCATCTCTCAGGTTGGATTTTAGGCATCTGTTTCTTGCTTTCTTGAGTGGGTTAACGGCAAACACATTTCTCATCTTGGCAGTTTGCATTTACTTGAACAAGAACGGCAGCACTGGGCCCCACCTAGACAAGAAGAAAGTTCAGCAGCTGCCAGACCATTTTGGACCAGCTCGAGCTTCTGTTGTCCTGCAGCAAGCAGTACAGGCCTGCATTGATTGCGCTTATCATCAGAAAACAGTCTTCTCCTTCTTAAAACAAGGCCACGGGGGAGAGGTCATCTCAGGTGAGAACAGGCCCCCAGCACTTTGCCTCCAGAGAGGTTGTTGCAAGAATTCTCTCGTTGGAAGATGTCTGTCCTGAAGCTCGCTGCGGCCACAGGCCAGGGGCAGGCAGAAGAGTTCTGTCTTCTCTTTCTTGCCACACGTGTGTGTCAGTGAAGCACCAGCTGGCAGCTGACTCAGAGCGGAGCAGTTGCCATGGCCTGCGGGCACAGCTGCTGGAGCAGGCCGTGCTCAGTGCTGGCATCGCCTGGGCAGCAATCCTGCCCCACCGAGCGGCCCCCGCACTGCCCCAGCCCCGGCAAGAGCCCCAGCAGGGGGGATTCCACAACTCCTCACGGAAAGACAAGAAATCCCCGGGTTTTTATTTGCCTTTAAGCCCGTGCGGAGCCGGAGCTGCGAGCGCAGGCCCCTCCTGGAATCCTTTGCATTCCCTCGGCCGCGGCTCCCCGTGCTGGGTGCAGCAGGCTGGTCCTGGCCTGCCCCAGCAGCAAAAGGCAGTGGCTTTGTTGGCTCTCGACAGCCCAGCGATGCTGAGATCCAGGAGCTGGCTGTGCGGCCCTGGGCGTAGCCTCCCGCCTTGGCGGGGGGTTCACGTGTTGGGCTCTGTTTGTTTCTGTCTCCAGCTGTGTTTGATCGAGAACAGCACACTCTGAACCTGCCAGCAGTAAACAGTATCACCTACGTCCTCCGCTTCCTGGAGAAGCTGTGCCACAATCTGCGCAGTGACAACCTCTTTGGGAACCAGCCTTTCACTCAGAACAGCCACATGCAGCGCTCACACGAGTACGACCACGACAGGTATCTACCAGGTAGGAGCTGGGGCGGGGGCGGCACTGTAGGGACCCAGGTTTTATCTCTGTCTCTGCAGGCAGGCGCCTTCAGAGCCCTCACAGGGTTCATTGCATCACAGCCAGTGTCGTGCACGTGCCCACAGGGCTCTTGTGTAGGATTCCAGTTGCATTTTCTGCCTGTCGGTTTGGTTTCCATCTCCGCTGTAGGTTTCCGCTCATCCGTGCTGTCTCCTTGTCTTCCCTCCTCTCCTCATCCCCCAGTCCTTCCTTCTCCCTGTAATCTGATTATGGTGACTTCATACAGCTAGGAATTCAGGTGAAAAGACTGCATGAGAAGGGAGAGTGAGAACATGCAGCAGCTTAACTGTAATTAGCAATTAATTAAAGCAGAGTGGTTTCCACACTGCCGGCTGTGGATCTGCTGGCAGCAGCCAGGGCATCCAGCCCTCAGTGACAATGAGCATTGAGGAGTGATGCTCGTGCAGCAATCTGATGCAGATTCTGTTGGTTTTGGAGCAGCTCACCCCAGCAAGACAGTTCATGCCACAGTGCAGATTGTCAGGCTGCAAAACTGCTCAGAAGTAGAAGCAGTGGAAAACAAACGCAGTGGTTCCCGCGCAGTGCTGGGCAGTGATGGGGTGATGGCTGCCCTGCAGGCTGGCCGGCCTTCTGGGGCAGCTCCTGCTCCAGGAATGTCAATCATGGAGAGGATCAAAGCTGTCTGCACCCTCTTGGGTGGTTGACAAGTGCTGATCTCCTCTCCTGTCTTGCTTTCTTCCCCCTCTAGTCAGCAAGTAGTTGTTGTGTTGTTTGAGGTCTTTCCAAAGTTAATTCTTTGCATAATTATGGTTCTGGCAAGAAAAGCAGAAGTTGTATGAATGTAAAAGGATGAGCACTTAGAAAGAACTGTTTAAAGAGAAGTTGCTAAGCATGAGGTGTAGGAGCAAGAGCCAAATTCCACAGTGCTTCCATTCATTGCACCTCACAAAGCACCTGAGGCAGAGTCTAGAAAGAAGGAGGATCTTCCCATCCTCTGTTTCCTCCTGGCTGGAGCCAGCAGGGCCAGGAGCAGAGGAGCTGTAGGATATGCAAGGACAGGAGCAGCATGACTAGTTACTGGGACTGGAGGCTTTCCCCTGAGGAACCCTCAGATAGAAGAAATACCCATGTTTCAGTGTGGAGGTACCCTGTCATCATGAGAGCAAAACCTGAGTGGGAGGGAAAGCACCCAGCTCTGGGCATGGCTGAGCTCACACAGAGTTTCCAGCCTCCATGAGAGGTCAGAGTTGGGCTGCTGGACAGAGTGGAAAAGTATAAATCAGAGTTCAGAGAAACTCAGGCAGAGCACCAGATCTGACACAATGCTGAGACCTGCCCATCCTGAACTCCGATTCAGAGTATTTGCAGCACTTGAAGAAAATCAGCCACAGTCAGAGGTGTGTCAGCTAGTCCTGCAGTTCATCCTGATGTCTGAGCTTCTTGGGCATCTGCTCATGTGGCACCTTTCTCAGGCACTTGAAAGAAGGTGGTAAACTTTGTTGTCTACACATCACAGTGGCTTCTGGTGAGGGCAGGGAAACAGAGCTGGTGATTTTGGGAAGTTTGGGCTGGTCATGGAGGAATGAGGGTGGAGTTGTACGTCCTTAAATCACACCAGATGTCAAGGCTGCTGTGGTCTCACCTTCAGCTCTGCATGTCCTGCCTTGTACAGTCTCCAGTACAGGAATGTCCTGCATGGGGCTGCTTCTCCCAGTGAATGGCCACTGGTTAGGACTGGGAGCTGCTCTGAGTTCCCAGAACAAACTGGGGGTGCCGTGGAGAATTGGTGTGTGTGTGCTTGGGGCAGAGGGAAGGTCTGCAGCAGCCAGCAGTGCCATTCTGCCTTTCTGAGCAAATGGAAATGAGGAGAAGCAGAGTGAGCTGTACATCAGGAGCAGCTGTTGGCAGGGGACTGGGCAGCTGATTGCTGTTCATAGCAACATGAACATGATGTGACCTGGAGCCATCTGAAAACACAGGACTGCAGAGACCTTCTGGACCACCTGGCTCCTGCTGTTCCAGCACCACATGGTGCTTCTTGGATCCTCTCTAGAGTTGCAGATTTTGCTTTTCCATTGGAGATTGCTCCAGGGTTTTATGCTGAAATTTTAGAAACTATTTTGTTATTTCCAGCCCTGATTTATTCTTGGGCAACTTCATGTCTGTGTCTCCTAATCTTAATATTGTCTCTTAGCTTAACTGGGTTCTTTTTCTTCTGGAAGTAGTTGCAGAGCAGTTGGAGCCCTCAGAGGAGTTCATCTTTTGGCTGCTTTTTGCTCTTCTCAGACAGGGTTGGTTTGACTTGAACTTCATGGGGTGGCCAGAGTGAGCTGCTCTTCCCCCCAGCAGCCTCCCAAGGCAGGGGAGGTGAAATATCCCTCCCAGCTGTGCTGTCATTTGGAGGCAAGGACAGCCCTTTGTCCTTTTATCTCAGTCCTTACCTTTCTGCAGTCCCCTTGCTCTGTTCCCTTGTGCTTGTTCCTTCTCTAGCTGAAACATGGGCCCAGCATTGCCTTTGCACTGTCTCAAAGCACAGAATGAGTTAAAAACCTCCCTTCATCCCTGCTCTCTCCATCCTCTGAGGTGCACAGCTCCATGCTGAGCAGGGCTTTTTTATCCAAGTAATGATCTGCTTGTTCTCAGCATCCTTCTCGAAATGAGCATTTATCCTCTGAGATTTGAGTCCTTTCCTCTCAGATTATTTCCTCTTTGGTGATACACATTCATGAGGTTTATGTCATTTTTGAACTGAAGGCATTTTCTTTTTATTCCTGATGATCTGAGTTACTGTTACTCCATTCCTTATTTTCTCAAAACTTGTCCTTTAAAACCAGAATTCTATTTTTGGTTTATCCTGTCATTAATTTACACTTCTGATTCCTAGGGTTAACTTCTGTAACCTAACCTGCTGTGTATGCATTACTTTTAATATCAACCACTTTTAAAAAAATAACCAAAACCTGATGAAACCTTTGTAAAACATCACTTTGTGTTGTGGTTCTGTGGCTGTTGGGTGAAGAAGGTCATGCAGTTTGGCACAGGGCTGCCCAGAGACATTACCAAGAGCATGTGTTCCCCTCTCTGGGCGGTGTTTCTTACAAGGGCTCGTCCTGAAGATGGAAATTGTTTTTCTGACAATAATTTTTGGTCATACTGCTATGGAATCCCTCAGTGCAAGCAGCTCTTTCATTTCCCTCATGAGCAGACACCTTCTCTACCTTTGTGTTTCTCCTTAATCAACTCAATTGTGCCCATCTGGTGCTTTCCCCCACCTGTACCTCCATTTGTTGGGCATTCTGTATCTCCCTTGGTGTCAGTCCCGTTGTTCCCTCCTGCCCTGTGCCAGCTCCAGGCTGGTGGTGGCTCCTGGCATTTGTGCAGGAGCATTTAACCCCTGTGTGCCCACCCCAGGAACGCCACGAGCTCCCACGTATCACCTGCAAGAGCCCAGCTGGGAGCTGCTGGCCTGTGTGGGCAGGGGAGGGTCACCTCAGCTGGGACAGGGTCTGCCACCCCTGTGTCACTTACCTGGCTGCTGTCCCCATCAGTGTCAGTGCTTCCATCCCTTGTCCATCACCCGTGTGTGCAGAGACGTCCTGGCCTGTCCCAGTGTCCCGTCTGCTGTGCAGGGCGTGGAGAGTCCCATCCTTGGGATGTGTTTGGAGAGCAGCCTGGGGGGTCCACGGAGGGGGGAGATTGGAAATTGGAGTAGGGTTTAAACCAGCACTGTGTATGGCACAGAGGGGCTGCAATTTTGTCCAAGGCTTGTTTGCCAGGTGTCCAAGGGTGCACCTGAAATGTGACAGTGGGATGAGCAAGGAATTGTGTGGGATGAGCCAAGGTGTAGAATGAGGAGAAATGGAATTAAGTCAATAATTAGAGGTGATGTTTGGGTGAAATATGGCAAAACATGGCTAAGATACCTTGTTAGTTTTCTCACCACCCTTTTTCTCTGATAAAACCCACAAACTCTGCTCTGTTGAGCCCTGCCAGATGTGCTGGATTGCAGCTTGAGCAGGTGGTGGGTGCCCAGGCTGGCGGTGCACACAAGGCTCAGGGGACTCTGTCTGCATTTCCCAGGACGTCTCCACTCCTAAAGAGGGCTTGTTCTCTTTTCCTAGACAGAAGCAGTTCGTTAGACGGCTCTCTGCAGGGACCAGGCCGGGGTACAAAGCGCTATTCCCAAGATTCCCCTCCATACAGTGCTCCTCTCTCCCCCAAGTTACCAAAGAATGACCGTCACCCTTTGGAAGGTGAGCACAGCGTGTCTCTTCCCAAAGCTGGCTGTTCCCAGCTCCCTGTCCCGCCTGCAGCAGGTTCAGATCTGGCTTTGCTTGTCCCTGGCATGGGTTGTGCTTGGTGTCCCAGAGGGGAGTGGATGAGCTGCTCTGTGGTGAGACAGGTTCCCCACACAGATGTGTCAGGCATGTGGAATGCAGTGGGAATTCCTTCTAACCCTGGCAGTCCTCATCTCACTCCGTGTAATCTGGTTTAGCTTCCCTGGCTGTGCATGGGGTTAACAGTGCCCAAACTGCCCAGCTGCCTCGGTCCATCTGCCCTGCATTTTTCCCTGAGAGTTTGCTGCAGCCTGTTGTACAGATGCTGATGTGCAGCTGTACAGCCAGGGACTTGCTGCCCTTTCCCAGGATCTCATCTTGTTCCTCACAGGCCTCCCTAAAACAGCCTGGGAGTGTCACTGGCTCCACCAGCTCAGCCACACCATTCCCATCCTGCGCTGCTGCTCCTTCCCAGAGCCCCTCGGGATAACACTGGTGCAGATGTGCTGGGCCATGCTCCCAACAGCAGCTGCAGGAGGCTCCTCTTTGGTGTGGGATCCACAGGTGTCCCTTGCATTCACAGGTGGGAGATTTCCAGAAAGTCCAGGTAGCTGGAGGACTCCCTGAACTGAGTAATCTTCAATAAATACACTCCCACTTTTGTTCTGAGCTGCAAACCCTTCATAATGCAGACCGAAGATTTAATCTTGGTGAGGCTTTTAATTAATGGGTGGTGAAATCTGCCAAGGTATTAGTCACAATTCTATGTGACTGAAATCCCTGAAAAATTGCTGAAGACTCCTGGGTGGGCTCACAGTCCAGTGGCTTTGTGCTCTCTTGCTGTCCCTTTAGAATCCCCATTTCCCTGGTTTTCTTGGGTTGCTGATCCCAGGTGTGAGTGCCCAGCTCTTGTGTGGGTGATTTTGGTCTGTGTCCTGTGCTCTGCAGAATCACTGACCCTGTCTCTAAGCACAGCTGCTCTGAACTTGCCCAGAGCCACTGCATTTGGGCACCCTTTGGCACAGCAGGTGGGACATGCAGAGTTCAGCCTGTTCTTGAAGCACTCCAAAGGTTCAGATACCTTGGTTGGGTGGTGAATATTGCACACTCTGTATTGTCAGTGAACAGACACAATGGGTAATTCCACAATGGGTAATTCTAAGGAGGAGCCTTCATTAAGTTTCTACAAGATTGATTCTTAGTCTGCTGCAAATCTATTCAGTTATCCCTTGGCCTTCAAAGGGGTTGTGCCATCTGGATGCCAGAATTCTCCAGCCTCTTCCAGAAAAACACAGAAAAGTGGGCAGGAAGTGTGTCTGTGTGTGAGGGGGGTGATCCTTCCTGCAGCAGCTTGGTCTGGTTCTGTTCTTTGTCCAAGCAATGAGGTGAAGTTTCAAATTCCATCTAGAAATTCATTCTTATCCCACAGCTAAAAGCTGTAATGAATACATCCTCCTCCACCATGAAATTGAGGTTCAGGCAGGAATATTTGCATTTCAGAGGATATATTTTAAGAATATGCACTTGAAATACTCAGATATTGAGTATTTCTTTAGCAAGGGACATCTTCTCATGGGAATGAACCCTGTCTCAGCCAGCAGCTCCTGAACACATCCCAGTTTGCCATATGGAAGGCTGTGAGCAGCAGTGGGATGTCTCCATTCACCCTGCATTTGGCACGAAGCAGAGACATGAGGAGGGGATCTCACATCTTACATTGTTTTTCCTCTTGCAGCCAGTGGCGTTTGTGTGGCTTTTTGCTGCTGCAGTCCCAGCACAGTGGGGACCTGCCTTCACAGCCCATCACTTGCTGGAAGCAGTGGGTGTTCAGGAGTAGTGCAAATCACATTTGTGCCTGTGGCCAAACTCCAGTGTTTTAGCAGTAAAATGACACTGTTGAGTCTATAGCACTGTTTGTTTAATTAAACTTTAATTATCTGCTCCCTGCCTCCCCGCCACTAATTGTGCCATGTTTCCCTACAATGTGCCAACTGCCAGCCTTTAGTTAAATCCAACAGTTTGTCTAAGGAAATCTGCCTAAGGATCAGCCACCTCCTGCTCCAACCCTGGTTATCAAGGGTGGAGGATCCTGGATCTTGCCTGAGGTGCACTTGTGCCCTGCCACTTGCAGGAGCATCTTGTCTACAGATAATTCCCAGGGGCAGTAATCATTCCCCTCTTGCCTCATCTCGTCCTCCCTTCCCTGGAGGTATCACTCATTGAGCACTTCCCTGTGTACTTGTATTTGTAGGAAAACCCTCAATCTGTCTTGCACTGCCCCTGCCACAAAGCCCCCAGCTGTGCTGCAGTGTTACAGTCCAAGCAGGCACTCAGCTGTGCAGGGATAGGGAACCTGGGGATCACTCTGTGCCTTCAGTTTTACCTCCTGGGCAAAAAACCACCATCCCCCAGGGCTCCATCCACAGCCCTCAGGTGTGTGATCAGCATGTGAGAACAGCATCTCATATTTGCAGAGTGCATCACAGCACATTCCTGTCATGACACTGAGCTGTTAATTGTTGGGTGAGGGCATTTCTGAGGGTGAGTTTTGGATCCTCAGCCTTGCACTGACAGGGGGCTGTGCCTGTGCTCTGAAATTCCTTCTGCTGACTCCAGTCCCTGCTGTGAGAGCTCTGGGGGTTTTGGGAGCACTCAGACATGTGTGTGCATGAGCCAGCACATCTGGCTGAGTGTCCCAGGACTTCCTGGCAAGCTGAAGCTCTCTGTCACCTGAGAAGGTGCTGGGTTTCCTTGGAGGGCTGAGAAGCACAGCTTGGACCTGTTCCCATGCCCACAGCCACTGCAGAGGACTGTGCCCACTGACCCCTCTCCTGCCTCTGTCCTTCCCTGGCAGTCAGCACCCTTCCCCAGATGTTTAATGGGAAGTGTTTTGGGGTGTAAACAGAACTGTCCTGTTGAACAGGAGGGCAAATGGAGTTGCTTGGAAGCAGCTACATTGGAAACCCATTGGTGTGACACCCCCAGGTGGGTCTGGCTGGGCCAGATCCCCACCCAGCCCAGGGCAGGGCAGCCAGCTCTGGTTTGCATCCAGTCTGGAGCTGAAATGCAATGGTGGGAGTGCAGGAGGGCTTTGAAGTTATTCAGGAATAGCCATGGGTCAGCAAACTGTTTTTTATGCACCCAGAGCAGGTGAGAACACACCTGTTCATGCAGGAAACAAGTGACAAGTGGGCCAGCACAGGACAGGTCACCATAGGTAGCAGTCCTCACACCAGCAGTTTGTACATCAGGTTTTAAGGTTGTGCTACTGTTTCTGGGCACATCCCAGAGACCTTAAATCAAAGAAAGGCAGCAGTGGCAAATCCCTGGGGTGGGAGCAGCAATTACCCAGTGATAACCCCACACTGGGCTGGCCAACAGCCAGACAAGGCTGCTCCCATTTCATATCCCTACCATGTGAAGCCCTGGAAGGTCAGGGCTGGACCATCTGAGCTGGCCTCTGGGTCTCTGCTCAAACACAGGCAGCAGGACATGAGACCAGGAGATCCCAGCTCTCACAGCAGTGCCACAGCTCATAGAAACCAGAGCAAATAAAGTGTAGCTGAGAGAGGCTGCCCCAGTCTCAACGTCTGCAGCACTTGGCAGCCACTTCAGGCTCTGGCAAGCTGCACTTCCCTTCACTGGAGCATGGCAGCATCAGCTCAGCAGGGAATTTGGGAAAATCTCAACAGCTTTTGGGTCCCAGAGGCCGCGGATCCCGAACCCTCACCACGATCCCAGTTCAGCACAGCAGCACTCTGCTGCCTTCTCACCTGCTGCTCCTGTAGTCTGGGAAGTGCCAGGGAAGAAACCCAGGCCTGGCCAGTGCTGTGGCCTCTCCAGCCTTGCCAGCTGCCGTGGTTTGAGTGGCTCAGGGCTGGAGCTGCCCTCGGCGTCCCTACAGATGCTGCTGGACGAGCTGCAGCTCCCGTGTGCTGGAGTGCACAGGCAGTGCCCCTCGCTGTGGAGCTGCTTCCCTCCCTGGCAGGTATTTCACCCTAAAGAACACAGCAGTTTGAGGGTGACTCATGAGGCACAAGGACCACCTGGCTGAGACTCAGCTGTGCTGTAGTAAAACCTGCAGAGGTGGCCCTGCAGTGGAGCTGTTACAGTGTAGAGGCAGATCTTGCTGGCTCAGCCAATGCAACCTGGCACCCTGGACAGTCCCCTCAGCCCCTCCATGCCATGGACAGCTGCAAGTTCAGTGCATTTATGGAGAAGGTGAGGAAACCATTATTGTCTAATACCCTGCCTGGGGAGAGCCCTCAGCCCAGACCCTCCTCTGCATGTTCCAGTATAGGGAGTTGGCCTCTGATGTGGTTACACTGGAAAAGGGCCCAGCAGGAGGCCAGGAGGGACGAGCAGCTCATCACCAGCGTGTTGCTTTTGGGGCCAGAGGACCAGCAGGGCACGGGAGCATTGCCTGGCCCTGATGGCTCAGCTCCCTCCTGCTCTGCATGTATGTGTGACACCCCAGTCAAGCACCAGGGCCATTCCCTTGCACGCTGATGCCGAGGATGTGCAGTGTGTGACCCTCGGGGAGCGTCCCCTCCCCTTCCTGTCCAGGACTGCCTGTGAGTCCTGTGTCCATTGGCATCCAGATGGGACAGCCCTGCCCCACCCCACAGTGCCACAGAGGGGCCCAGGGCAGTCAGGCCATGGGGCTGGGCCATGGCTGGTGGTGGTTCAGAGTAGCTGAACAAAGGAGCTGCTGCTGCAGCCTGGGACTGTTGTCACCACCGTGGTTGGACTGGCAGTGGCAGATGGTGCCACCATGTGCAGATTGGCAGCTAGTGAACACCAGGGCTGTGCCTGGTTTGATCCCTGTGCTGGGGAGAGACCAGCCAGGGGTCAGAGCCAGCGAGCGCTGCCGCTGCTGTGGCTCTGCCGTGGGGCTGTGGCGTTCGGGTGCACTAACTGCAGCTTGGTGCGTTCCAGGTGAAACCTTTGTCCTGGCAGATGGCCTCCCAGGGCCCTTAGAGCCTCGCCTGGACCCCATGGACTCTGCCTTGAACTCTGTCAATTCATCCAGCCACAGCAGGAGCTCCAGAGACTATCGCCTGCCAGGATACAGGCACCTGCACCAGCCCTCTAGCCTCAGCCAGGGCAGCACCTCTGCCCTGCGCAGGCTTAGCTCTGGGGGTAAGAGCTCAGAACAGCCCTGCAGCTGTCAATTGGGCAATAAAGGGCTATTCTAACTTCAGTTGCACCTTTCTAACTTCAGCAAGTCTGTTAGGTGTGATGGCACCTGGCAGGTGGCAGTGTGGACAGGTGACATTTCTCCTTTGACTGGTGACCGGGTGGACCCGGAGGTCAGTGGGGAGAAAGGGACAGGCAGGAGCTGAACTGTGTCCAAGTAATAAATGGGTGTCTGAGTCTGCAAGGATGGATTGGGAATGGCTGGGGAGTTGAGAGTTGCCTGGTGGGGCTGGGAGGATGAGTGGCACTTGTCTGTACAGAGGAGAGGGGCAGGAGCTGAGCTGCTCATGGCAGCATGTTACAAACAGCGTCATTTTAGGTGCATGGCATCAGTAAAAGCCTCTGAAAAGCTCAGGCTGCTGGTGCCTGAGACAGCTGAGACAAGGGGCTGTGCACACTGGGAGCAGGACCTGTGCCAGCTCAGGCTGTGCTTTTGGACAGCAGGAGGTCACCTGTGGGTTCAGTCCATCAGAAGGTGCAGCCAGTGAAAACATAAAGCAGCTTTGCAGTGTTAAATGTGCTAAAGGTGTTGGGAATGGCAAGGGGGTATCCTGCTGAGGTGGGAGGTGTCAGCCCATGGACAAAGAGGAGCGGGAGCTGGGGACAAACAGGGGGAGTGGGGTTTGAGAGAAGGGACAAGGGATCAGTACAGAAAGCTGCCATGAAAAGTCAGGCCTAAGGAGAGGGAATAAGGCTTCTGAGCCAGACCTGCGCTGCAGGAATCTGGGGCACACCTGGGACGTGCCCCTTGCTGTGTCTCTGCCCTGCTGTGGGAGAGGAGCTGAGTGGTGGATCAAGGGGGAATGACCTTGGGGCGGTGCCAGGGACCCCCAGTGACGGCTCTGTCTGGCATCCCCAGGCTCGGACAGGTACCTGGGCTCCCGGGACACCTCCCGGCTCAGCAGCCGCGACCCCTCGTCCTGGACGGTGGAGGAGGTGATGCAGTTCATCCGTGAGTCAGACCCACAGCTGGGCCCCCACGCTGACCTCTTCAGAAAACATGTGAGTGCCATGTACAGATGTGTGGGGTACACCTGGGAGGGGGCAAATCACACAAAGAAAATCCAGCAGTCGGAACATGGCAGCACTTGAGATGGAGTTTTGTGCTTAATAAAAAGATCCTCATAAATCCTGCTCATGCCCTGTCTGGATCCTCATCAGAACCCCTCAGGGTTCTGGGTGCATACAGAGCCTCTTCAGTGAATCCCAGTGCTGTAAACTCTGCTCCTCCTGGACTTTATACTCAACTCATGGCAAATTTCTCCTGGCAAGAAACACGTTCCAAGTGGGATTCAGAGTGTGTTGCTGCTCAGCTCCAGTAACAGGGAGTCTCCTGAGGCTCTGATCCTGGTGCACATGTGTAGGTGTAAAACAGCTGCAGACAGTGTGGAGTTTGTACCATCACAGCTACAGGAGAGGTTTGGCAGCTGCATGTCCTGAGCCCTCTGCCTTGTGGTAAAGTCCATGTTCTGGTGCTGCTCATGAAGAGCAGTGGGAGCAAACACCCAGCACCGTGTCCTGCTCCAGGCTGGGCTGACCCAATGCTTCTTTTTTGAATTTGCTTTATTTTAGAAACACAATTTCTCTTACGATTGAGAAATGTTTGTTTTAAATATGAAAAGCTGCCAAGGGACAGAAGTGCTCTGGATTGTCAGTCCTGAGGAGAAACTTGCTTTCATCTGTGGAAGGGAAAAACAGATCAAACGTAGTACTGGAGATCCCTGGAGATCTCACCAACCTGAAAGCAACTGAACATTGACAAAGGACAGGATTTTCTGTTGCTTGAGGTTGTGACTTTCATTTTTCATTTACAAGCCAATTAACATTTTCTTCATGGAAAACTGTCCAGTGCAAAGCTCTGCACCCAGCCTGGACTGGGTCATGGACAGGAGTGCTGAAGGAATGGGCAGACTTTCACAAATGCCAAGTACCAAGCTGTTTTCTGGTTGTTCTAAGCTTCATGATCCATCCCCTCCTTCATCTCAGGAGGGACACATCTGCTCTGCTGTAAAGGATCAGATGCTTTGAAAGCTGCTGTGTTGGAATCAGCCCCAGTGGGGATGAGGAGCTCCAGCACTCTGCCAGTGGCTGGGACTGTGCTGTGAAGCTCCAGAAATAAAACCACAGAATCATTCAGGTTGGAGAAGCCCTCTGAGGTCATACAGTCCAACATTCCCCCACCACTAAACCATTTTCCACATCCACATGTTTTTCAAACACTTCAGGGATGGTGATTTCAGCCATCTCTCCCCTTTCAAGAAAGAAATTTTTCCTGATATCAGGCACAGAGTCACCAGTTACAGAGCACAGGCTCTTTGGGTTTTGGGATCTGTTCCCTAACCTCCATCTTCAGCCAGGGCTGTCAGCATGGACACATCCTCTGACAGATTCCCCCTGTGCTGGGATGACAATGCCCTGGAGTGAGCAATTGCTGCCCTGCATTGCCACTGCCCCTGTCACTCCCCTGCCAGTGAAACCTCCCTTTCCCTTCCTCCCCACCTCCCTCAGGAAGTGCTGGGAATGGCTCCTGGATGTTGATCACCCCGCAGAATTCCCATCACTCACATGGCTCAGCAGGGTGGATGTGCTGTCCATACTGGGATATCCATACTGGGGTGTCCATACTGGGATATCCATACTGGGATGTCCATACTGGGGTGTCCATACTGGGATATCCATACTGGGATGTCCATACTGGGGTGTCCATACATGTCCATACTGGCTGTCCATACTGGAATGTCCCTACTGGATGTCCATACTGGGGTGTCCATACTGGGATGTCCATACTGGGATGTCCCTACTGGGATGTCCATACTGGGATGTCCATACTGGGATGTCCCTACTGGGATGTCCATACTGGAATGTCCCTACTGGAATGTCCATACTGGGATATCCATACTGGGATGTCCCTACTGGGATGTCCATACTGGGATGTCCATACTGGAATGTCCATACTGGGGTGTCCATACTGGGATGCTGCTGAGCAGGGCTCTCACACCCAGCCCTGCTGTTGCATTTTGGTGCCATCACAAGCAGTGCCCTTCATCCTTGCAGGAGATCGATGGGAAAGCCCTGCTCTTGCTGCGGAGTGACATGATGATGAAGTACATGGGGCTGAAGCTGGGGCCAGCCCTGAAGCTCACTTACCACATCGACAAGCTAAAGCAAGGCAAGTTCTGAGAGGACTGCTGGCCGGATGGATCCTGGAAGCTCCGCTCCCGGCTGTCCCCACCCGCGCTCACCTGCCGACAGGTTCGCATGCACACACCCCTTCTGCCGCCGACGGACACTCCCGTGCCCCCGGGGCCCGGCCAGGCCCCGGCAGCGCTCAGGAGGAGCCGGGCACAGCTGGGCTTTGCCCCAGACTCCAGCTGTGGGTGTTGGAGCGTCTCTTGCCAGCGCTCCTCCCTGGGCTCACGGCGCTGCTCCCCCGGCTGGAGCAGCGCTGCAGGCGGTGCCCGTGGGGACGGGTTGTTTGCTTCTGCTCCTCCTGCTCCAGCCGTGCCTGCTGGGGCAGCCCCTGGGCACTGAGCCTGCCCAGCCTCGAGGGGCTCGGTGCCCCCAGTCTGCCCTCAGCCCTGTGCCACCGCGGCGAGCTCGGAGCACCCAGCCCCATCTTCCACACTGGGGGAGCCCATGCGCCCGGCTCTGCCTGCCCCCAGCTCCTGCCCCGGCCCCAGCCGGGCACACCGGGCCGGCCGTGGAAGGTTTCATGTTTATTCCAGGCTGGGGAGGCCGTGTGGGAGCGTGGAGCGAGCTGGGAGAGCTGAGGAGCGGGGCTGGCCTGGCATGGCCCTGGGCTGGTGTTGGACACTGCCTGGATGCTGCAAGACTCGGCTAATCCTTCCCACCTATTTTTTTTTTTTTTAATTTTGGTGGTTTGGTTTTTTTTGGAAGTTGTTTTTTTTTTTTACTAAGGAGTTGTCTGTTTGAAACAATGAGATGATTTTTCTACCTGTGTTGAACTTGCAACTCTTGGTGATTTTTAGCCAGAGCTGCTAAGGTTTGTCTTCCCAGGGGCCCTCCTGCTCCTCTAGAGTTTTGGTCTGTCCCTGCTCAGCGTGTGCGAGGTTTTGGGTCTGGTGTTTGCCCTTCCCGAGGCACCTGTTGGTCTCAGGCAGTTTAATGTATTTATTTTTGATGGCACTTGAGCGGTTCCCATGGTCCCAGACACGTTTCTGCAGCTGCACGAGGAATGTTGGGAGCAGAGCCAGCAGCTGTGCCCTGGACAGCAGCTGCAGCTCGGGGCTGCCCAGACCCCGGAGCATCACCAGCACCAGCCTGGCCTGAGCTGGGACAGGACAGGGCTGTCCCCAGTGTGTGCCCACACACACACACACACACACACACACTTCCTCTGCAGTGACCAAAGGGCTGGGACAGAATCTCCACTCCAAGCACTTCCTTCTCCTGTCCTCAGCTCGCCCTCTGCATCCGGAGCCGCAGCTCACCCCCTCCCCTGCAGCCTCGAGGGCCTGGCCAGCAGCAGGACGTGGTGACCAACCCTCCAGGCTCTTGCACTGAGTCAGGTTTACCCCTAAGGGGCAAAGTTGCAAAAAAAAAAATAAAAATACCCCAAACCCCAAAGTAATAAAAAAGCAAATGGCTTTTTGTCCTATAGCGCTGCTGGCCTGGGGCTGGGGTCTCTGGCTGCTCACAGAGCCCCTCACTCACGGCACAGCCCGGGGCTGGGGTCTCTGGCTGCTCACAGAGCCCCTCACTCACGGCACAGCCCGGGGCTGGGGGCTCTGGCTGCTCACAGAGCCCCTCACTCACGGCACAGCCCGGGGCTGGGGGCTCTGGCTGCTCACAGAGCCCCTCACTCACGGCACAGCCCGGGGCTGGGGTCTCTGGCTGCTCACAGAGCCCCTCACTCACGGCACAGCCCCGGAGCCCCCGGCCTGAGCCGGCCCCGCTGCAGCCAGGCCCCAGCAGGGTCAGCCAGTGCTTTCCTCTGCACTTATTTTACGTTGATTTGTTTATAAATAAAAGGATACCAAGTTCCTCTCTGCTGTTTGTGCACTGAGCTGGGGCTGAGCCCTGGCTGGGGGGGAGCACAGGGATGGACAGTGGGCGCTCCCCTGGGACTGAGTCCTGGAGTGACCCCCGGGCACAGCAGCTCAAGGTGGGCACCAAGCAGAGCTCCCCATCCCACTGGGGAGCAGCACCCCAGCCCCAGCAGGCCCAGGGCTGCTGTGGGACCAGCAAACCCTGGGGTTGGACAGCAGGAACAGCCCAGTCCTGCCTGGGCTGGGCACCTGGGGGTGCCGAGTCCTGGCCCTGGTCCCAGTTCTGCCCCCCTCTCCCAAGACGAGCTGGAAGCTGGGAGCAGCCAGGGCCCAGCAGGGAGCAGGTGACAGCCCAGCCCCAGTGCTGGAGGGTCAAAGGGCACTTCCCTCTCCTCACAGGCACTCAGGAGCTCCCAGGACTTGTCCCAGGAGCTGTTCTGAACCCAGAGCCAGGGCTGAGGCTGCTCTGGGGAGAGCAGTGGTGGCAGTGACAGCCCCACATCACCCCAGGGATACAGCTCTGACCATGGGCCTGGTCCTGCACATCCTGCACCAGGCAAGAAACGCTCCCAGCTGTGGGGAAGGGGGGTGGGACAAACCCCTCTGGGGCAGCTCAAAGCCCCCTGGAACCATTTTCTGCCCTGCAAAGCCTGCAGGCTCAGCCCAGCTTCCCCAGGTTTCCCCACTGCTGGAAGGAAGCTCTGTAACTTTGGAGCTGTGTCTAAACCCTCTGTGAATACAGCTCACAAGTTTTTGCTTGCTTAGAGATGATGGATTCAGGATTGGGCAGTTTTGTGCTCCAGTCCTTTCCTTCCTTCCCTCCAAGCAGGCAGGAACAGAACAAGCTCAGGACTCCTTACACAATTTGTTACAAATGAGCATTTAATGACAGAGTCAGTTGCAGAGTTTTGCCCAAAACAAACATTTCAGAATTAAAAAACACAGGATCTCATCGTGCCCCAGGAGCAGCCAGGCCAGGGCAAGACTGGGCAGTAGCAGAGCACTGCCACTCCATAATTCCTGCACAACAGCTGGAATTGTCACACGAGGAATGCTCGAAGCTCTCCAGGCTCACAGCAGCTTTACAGGGAATATTTAAAACTGAGGACTAAAGCAAGGAGGGGCTGGGGAGATCAATGAGGAGGGACAGGACAGGGTTTGGTTCCACGGCTCAGCCAGGTCTGACCGTGCTCTCTCCCCATACTCCAGGGAGCTGCTGAAGTCTGTGTGCGGAATCAAACAGAGACAGACTGACAGACAGACAGACTGACTGACCTCCTTCCTTTCCTCAGTCACCAAAGGCCACACAGGCTGTTCCATGGCAGCAGCTCAGCCCCCTCAGCACTGCCCACCACCCAAGGCAGGCAACACCGAGGGGAGGGTGAGCAGGAACAGCCCCTGGGAGCCGCAGGAGCACAGGACACGCAAACCCAACGTGGACAAAAAGGCAACAAAAGGCTCCACTTCAAATCCATGAAAAAGCACCAGGAGCTGCTGTGCCCCAGGCCAGGGACACAGCTCAAGGCAGCAGTGGAAGTGGTTCAGTGGTTCTCTCTGTTCTCACCTCCCCCTTGATGCAAGGGGTCGGAGTTTCCCAGCTCCAGGAGCGCTGGCACAGGGAGGGCTCACAGGACCCCTCGGGTCAGGGTTTCCCTGGCAGCCTCCTTCTCCTGCTCCCCCAACCTGATCCCATCACATCCCTGCAGTGACACAGAGTTCCAGAGTAACACTGTTCCAGGAAGATCTTCCTGGTTACAAATTCATAATGGCAATGAATGCACCAAGAGCACCGGTGCCAAAGGTTTGCAAATGCTACTGAAAAAAAAAAATAAACCAAATATCATCCCTTTTCCCTGAAAAAAAATAAAAAACCCAAACCAAGGCTGCATGAAGCTGCCCAGCTCAGACACTAAGCCAGCCCCCAAATCTTGTGCCATCCATAATTTCATCAGCAAGTAAAGACTGAGGAGGGAGCAAGAAGACTGGAGAAAGCAACTCCACTGTCAGTGTCCAAGTGCCCGAGCACTCCCTGCACTGGGAAGGATGTGTGCCATGGGATTCCCCTCAACACAGCAAATCCCACACCCCAGTTTGCTTTGCCCTCCAAGCTGGTGCAACTGAAAGAAGTCTTAGGGGCCTCTGGGAGCTCTCCTCCACAGATAACCAAGATCTATATAGAAAATAAAGGAAGGACAGAAGAGCTGAGGAAATAAGAGATAGGATCTCAGAATGAAAATTATAAACCCGTAAGTTAGGAAAGCCCAAAGCTGAGGGTGTTGAAGCTACTGCTGTAAGAACACCTGGAAAACCTAATGGAGACTCCTCTCTGCAGCAAGGACACACCTGGAGAGGGAGAGAGAAAAGGAGCAGGAATTACTGACAGGGAAGAGCCACAGGCTGCAACTGCACAGCACTGGAGGCAGAGTCTGACAGCAGGGCCTGGCACTCAGCAGTGGAGCCCAGAGCTGTGTGCAGGTGCTGCTCAACTCCTGCAGAGCCCCCACACACACCAGAGATGGGGCAGGTGTCACATCCATGATGCACAGAGGGAGAATGCAAATTTCAAGTGTGCCTGTTCTGCTGGTGCAGTCTGAGTGCCAGGTTTCAGGATGTGTACATCCAGTTTTCACATCCCTGTAACACCTACAGCCCTCACAGACCAGAGGCTGAGCCCTGGGTCTGACAGGAACTGCTGTCCCAGGATATGGACACAATGGATACTTCCAAGATGTTATTTTACAATGGTGAGGGACTGCAAAATATTGAATTTCCTAAACCCAGGAAGCCCTTGTTCAGCTCTGCCCCCATTTTCAGGAGTGTGTGCTCCACTGGTGCTTTTATCTGAATCCAACCCTGAATTCCCCTGTGTGTATTTGTATTTTATTGTGTGTCACTTTGCTAAGGGGACAGCCAACCCCAGCTGTCACACACCACCCACATCACCTCATGGTGTGCCAGCTTTCTACCAAATAATGCAGAAATCAGATGCCAGGAGCAAAGACTGGACAAGAGGGGTTTTTTTTCCAAAAGGAAGAGGTTGAGATCATTAAACATTACCAGGAATCAGTCATGATTTGCTGAAGGGAACTTCAGCTCTGTTATCTCCAGGTCAGGAGAGCTGCTGCCACTGCGGTCACTGTAGGTGTCCCTGCAGGATAAAAGATTTGGGGTTCGGGAGCACAAGTGCTTTAAGGACTGATAATTAACGTGGGATGCTGCAGCCCAGGGAAAAGTTTGTCTCCTCTGCTGCGAGGAGCCATTTCAAACTCAAATGTGCAAAAGCAGAGAACTGAAATATCCCTCAACCCTTGGAGGAATTGAAATGAGAGTCCCTCACACACAAGAAACTCTTCTGGACCACACCTGAGCACTGCTCAGGAATCCCAAGGTGCAGCTGCACTGCAGCTCAACCCCCAAAGCCAACACTTCCCTTTTGGCTTTGCATTTCCCTGGGTTTGATACAGGCACTGCTCATCCTCCTCTGCATTTGCTCTGGTTTTTTAGTGCCTGTCAGCACTCAGCAACCCCTTGTTGTTCTCTGGGGGGAGGAGAACAGGTCAGGACCAATTGATTGTTAATTGTTGTTCAGTCCTGAGTGCCAAACAGAATTGCAGGCACTGGGGAAAAGCAGTACCAAGTGACTGCACCATTAAATCCACCCAAAACACCACTTGCTTTGCAAAGTGAAACAAAGAAAGCTGAAGTCATCAGGGAAAAAAAATGAGGCTGCAACCACCAGGGCCTGTTCTTTAAACCAGAACAAGAACAAATTTCTTATGGACCAGCCTGTAAGTGGGACTTGTGTGAGCAATGTAGGGAAAAGCCCATGAGGTCTCCAGTCATGTGAAAGAGCAGGCCCAGCCTCAGTTTCCCCGAAGACCCTGTCTGACAGCCAAGGCTGCAGATCTCTCCCTGAAGCCAGGGCCACTCTGCAGGCCTGTGGCCCCACAATCAGCCTCAACACACCAGAGCTTTCAAAAGAAGAGGGGAAAGAAGGGGTGGTGCAATACCAAGTTATCCCCAGGAACTCTGTGCAAGAGGATGCTCCAGGCTGTCCTGTGACAGCTCTGACTGAGCTCCGTCTTCAACCCACCTGGGGGAGAGCCTGCAGCCCTTCTGCAGGTAGTGGGTGAGTCTCCCTGAAGATGCCAGGAGGAGCCCAAAGTATGGGGGTGATGGCTTGATGGGCCTGGAGAGGAACTCGGGGTGATACTGGACACCAACGAAGAAAGGATGATCTGAGAGGAACAAACAAAACATTCACATCAAATCTCTCAAGCTGAGCTGCAGGTGAAATCCTGATTATGCTGATGATGGGGAAGTATAATGTCCGTGCCTTTTGTTCATAAATGCAGAGGGACATGGGATTTTATTTTTACCATTATTTTATGAATGGAAACATTCTGAGACAGTCTGAATGGCTCCCACATGAAAACCTGCTCCATTACCCTCTACCTTCCCTTGTCCTTCCCACACCCACAAACCAACCGCTTAAGGACTCACCTTCCAGCTCAACCACTTCCATCCTCTCTCCCTCCTCATCCTGCCCCACAAACTTCAGACCTTGCTCTTCAAAATACTTTTTCAGTTCTGGATTGACCTAGAAAACCAGAAGCAAGACAAACCATGATCTCTTGTCTCTGGATTACACAGGAAAGCTCAACACCTACATGAGCATTTTTACCTCAAATCTGTGTCTGTGTCTCTCTTCCAAGAAATCATGATCTCCATACAGCTTCCCTGCAGCAGAAGCAAGATGTTCCTTAGAGCAGTGATCACAGCTTTTAACACATTCACTTGATCTGCAT